TGGTGTTAATGGGTTTAAGGTGGACTGAGCTCTGGTGTTAATGGGTTTAAGGTGGACTGAGCTCTGGTGTTAATGGATTTAAGGTGGACTGAGCTCACATGCTCATGAGTTTAAGATAAAGTGAGCAAGTATGTTAAAAGTATGTTTAAGGTGGACTGAGCTCACGTGTTATTTAAAGCTGTTTTTGCACTGCTGCATTTTAGCGTATGAATGTTTTATTTTAGTTTCCAGTTTTGCTGCTTAATATTTTCATTCTGAATTTGACTGAACGTTAATTTTCCTGGAGCAATGAATGACATCAGTTTTTTTCAGTCAGAAAGTTTCTGTAGAATCTTAGCTTTCGTTGTGCCACCACTATACATTAGTTTGGTGTCTTATTCTGAAAAGTATTCTTCCTGTATGATCACAGTCCCTGTGCTGCTGCTGCTGAGTGGATTTACTGTGGTAGATGAATAGAATTTGGTTTGAGCGTTTTTAACAAGGTTTCATTTCTTTCTTATGTCACACTTTTTTCATTTTGGACACAGTTCAGTTTCCATTTTGTGTTTTGTGCAAACTCATCAGACTGAAGAGCTGAGCTGGTGTTTGGATCTGAGCCCAACACGCAGCACCACAATCGTTTTGTTCTGTTTTTTTGTATAAATAAAGTTCTCATGAAACCTCCACGAGCCACCTCATTGTATTTTTATTTAAATTACTGACGACAATACAAAAAAAAACGTGTTTTATTGTCCGCAGCCTGTAAATAAAGATGGACGACACTAAAGTTTGTGTAATGTTACTGATCAGGTCTGTGATCACAGTGTAACGTTTGGAGGAGGCTCAGATCGTCTCAGCCTCGTCTTCCACCGATCTCATCCGTCCACGGCTCAGATGAAATCATCACTCCACTCAGTCGGCAGCGTGTCGCTGAGTCACCACTCCGCCGCCGTCGCCTTCTAAATGAAATGCCAATCACTCGGCTCTGGAGGGAGCTCACTGTTCGTCTCTGGGTCCCAGTTTGTCCTGACAGTCACTGGAGGACGTCCTGTCCTCAGAGGCTCCACTCAAACCAGCCACACGCCTCAAGATGGAGGAGGAACAACTACTGTCCTGTCGGCCTGTACTTATTACTACAGTATTACACGAGTACTCAGTATTCATTACTACA